TTCTGTGATTCTTTTGTAGCATGTACTGTATATCAAACCACAGAGAGCATATCAAATGACATCGCATTTCTGAGCTCAGTTATATTATATTGTAAGAGAAGTTTGACTACAAGTCTGAATACCATAAAACCCTTCATACTAAACAGAACAGTCTAATACTTTCGACAGAGAAAATAAATACATAAAACTCCAAATGAAACTGTCTAATAAATGCTGTGTGGAGCAACAGGGTGCATGTATTAGAGGAATTAAGCCAATTTAAACTGTGCGGGGAGTACTCCACTTTCATATGTGCTCATCAGCTTCCACTGATTTCAATGGCAGTTGGATACATGCATCAAAGAGTAAAATTTGGCTCATAGCACTCACGTGGATTTGTTAACATAGGTTTATGACCTTCTAATGCTAGATTTTCTAAACTGTTAAGAACTCTATCCAGCTGTAAATAGCTGCGATGGCTGCTGTTGATCTAAGCCATTGAGCTCCACAGCTCTGGGGCCAAAATCACTGTGGGCATAATTGGATGCAACTGATTGGCCACTGATATCTGTAGAGCAGTGCCTACTTACTCTAGCAATGAATTTGGCATATGGGGGATAATCAGAAGTCTGAGGAGGAAACTATCCATTCCTTAGCAGGAGTTTTAACTGGGAATTGCAAACTGTCAGTATGAGAAGAGATTTCTCTGGGCCAAGTGTAACTCCACTGACTTCAGTGATCTCACAGCAGCAGTATATTCAACCCTGACCTCCACCCAGCACAATGACCATATAAGCAACTTTGTGAATATAGGGACTGAATCTCCTCCTAGTTACACAAGCATAAAACTGGCATAAATCCATTGAAGTCGGTAAAGTTACTCCTGATTTTACATTAATGTAACTGAGAGGAGAATTAGCCCATGATAGCCTAGATCCTTGGCTGCAGTTGGGCCAGCAATCACCACAGCAAGAGGAGGCAGCGTTGTCGATGTACATTTTGCACTCATGCCCTGATGCTGCTCCAATGACTCAGCCAGTCTTCAATATAAAATAGCAGAGCCTGGTGGATGTGTTCTACTTTAGCCCAGCTGTCAAAGATCCCATTCTGGCATCTGGGGATTGCTGCAAAGCAGGATGCCTTAGTTATGGTCTCTTTTCTTCAGCCAGGCCTCCTTTGCCATGGGACTGGGAGGAGTGGGTGCAGAAATCTTCCAGTGGTCAGATCCAGTGGCTTTAGAGCAGTGTTGCACCACTAGGGTGGCATAACTCAGCTATTTTGTGTCAGAGAATCAGGTCTGTGTATTTAAGAATGTAATAAAAATCTTTACACTTTAAAAAAAACAAAAACCTCACTGTTCATAAGCAGCATCTCATTTCTAAACCCCAGTCTCTCCTCTGGTTTAATTTCTTCCTCACAATACTACAGGACATTGGGCTAATTTATGTCTCATTCACTTGTGAAATGTCACTATTAAATCACAAAAGTTCCCTCAAACCTGTGTGCCTCTGTTTTTATTAAAGTGCTAGAGCTACTTTAGTGATTCTTTATGAAAATTAATTAAAACACATAAATTAATAAAATACAATTTTAAAATGGTCTCCTCCGTTGAAATATTATGTGGTATGCAAAGCCATAACCTAAATCGAATTCTTGTGTTGAGCTATAATCTCCTAAACATATAGTAGTGGTCTGTAATGGAAATTCTTAGAAACCCCATTGCTATATTATGCAATACATTTCGCTCTCAGCACACACAACGTGACAGGATATGTACTTTTTTGAATGGTCATTTCAATATTAATTCTATATGTTTGTGTATGTGTGTGCACACAAAATAAGGAGTAACTTCATTGTCATTGAAATTACACTTGTGTATAACCAATACAAGTGAGAGACGAGTCACATTTCATGTGCGGGTATACACTGTAGCCTCAAGATTGCAAATTTACAACATATCTGAGTAATTTTAGCATGTGAATAGTGTCATTGAGTTCAATGGGATTACTCACTTGTATATGCAGGATCAGTGCCTATCAGTGAAATCCTGTCTTTATTGAAGTTAATTACCAAACCATACAGATTTTATTCATAATTAAATTGGTTAGACATCAGCCATATGACTAACATTAGCTGGGTTTTTTTGTTTGTTTGAGTGGGGGTTGCTCTTACCTTCCTGAGACTCTGATACCATATTGCAGTGCAACACTGAACATATAGATGTTAAAAAGTCTGCCTCATATGGCTCTAGTGCAGTGGCTTTCAAACTTCTTTACTGGTGACCCCTTTCACATAGCAAGCCTCTGAGTGCAACCCCCCTTATAAATTAAAAACACTTTTTAATATATTTAACACCATTATAAATGCTGGAGCAAAGCGGGGTTTGGGGTGGAGGTTGACAACTTGCGACCCCCCCCCCATGTAATAACCTTGTGACCCCCTGACCCCAGCTTCAGAACACCTGCACTAGTGTACCCAATCTCCTGGTTGAGGAATCAGCCAGCTCTGCGACTGTTTCCCCGTCTGTGTCCTGCTAGGAAGAAAAACTAGCTGCTTCTTCTCATATGTCCTGCCCAAGTAGGGCTCATTGGTTGGTCTGACCCTGCTAGTCAACCAGCTCCTCTGGGAGGGGAAGCCAGGGATCAGCGGAGCCAGCTGGCTTTAGCAGATTTTATTCACTATACTCTCTTATCAGAATGTATGTGAATAAAGTTTTCTACCTAGAAAACGGTGTGCTGAAATCCTTCATGGGCATAAAGATTTCAGTACACAGAGGTCTCTGTGTGGAAGTCTTATATTCACTGAAGTTTTTATGCCCATAAAGACCTTAGAACATAAAAATCAAATGGGATAATAAAATCAATAGTGATTGTCTCCAGGGGGACATGAGCAGTTAAAAAAAACAATTACCTTTATGTATAAACAATTACTGAGATTGTGCATGCTGTGTCAAAATCAGCCTTGGTGTAATTCTTCTAAATTCAGTGGAGTCACGTGAGAAATTAGATTGCTCCGTTGTTCTCAGCCTTCAGTTTCGGACAATATCCAATAATCCAAAGAACTATTATTGTCAGCATTATTTTACTGTTAAAATAGCCACTCAGAGCCACTCTATATGTCTGTAAAATATAACACACACACACACACACACACACACACAAGCAGGGTAAGAGTATGGAGTAAAGTTACTATTTTAATATTAAAGATGTCTGCTTCTTCTAAGTTCCTTTTGTGCACTTTAGTGTAATAAGCATTGCAACAGTCATCATTGCTATAGCCTTAATAGTATCGTCCTATGTGTACAGTACCATTCCTCCAAAGGGTCCCAAAACATTTCCCAAATGATAGAGCAATAATAATACTTGCACTTCATAAATGTTTTCAAATCAATGCTCACAATCTCCCTGTGAAGTCAGTAGGTAAGTATTATTAGCCCCATTGTACCCAGGAAGTTGAAGCAGAGAGGTGAAATTATTTGCCCAAGGCCACAGACCCACTGCAGGGCTGGGAGTAGAATTTGGGACCTCTTGACTGTTGTCTGTCTCTCCTCTTCTCTTCCTCCTCCTCCCCCCCCCACACAGCTTTTTTTGAAACTGAACTGACCACAGCTGGAATGTGCCACCTCTGAAGTGGAAGATGGCAACTCTGTCTGCGAACATAAATTCTACACATTGGTTTAGGACAGGGATTGGCAACTTTTGGCACGCAGCCTACCAGGGTAAGCACCCTGGTGAGCTGAGCCGGTTTGTTTACCTGCCGTGTCCGCAGGTTCGGCCGATTGCGGCTCCCACTCGGCCCGTGCTGCTTCCTGCAGCCCCCACTGGCCTGGGACGGTGAACCGCAGCCAGTGGGAGTTGCGACCGGCCGAACCTGAGGATGCGCAGGTAAACAAACCAGCCCGGCCCGCCAGGGTGCTTACTGGTGGGTCGCGAGCCAAAGGTTGCCGATCCCTGGTTTAGGACGAGGAATACTGTGTCCAGTTGAAACTTCAGGAGGAATTTAGGCAGGTAGAATTAAGTTAGCCAGATTAAACTCTGGCCAGGAGAACCGGGTAACAACCTGTTCTTGTGAAAGTGCATTGGAAAGTTAATGACCACAGGTGCTGATGACTTTGTTACTTCTCATCCAAAAGACAGTGGGCCTAGTTCTTGAATCTAATCTGATTTGCAGTGGTCCCCAGGAGCTAAGCAGACCTAAATCTGGCTGATTCAGCAAGTGGATGATTCCTTCAGCGTTGAAGGAATACTCCAGTGGATTCGGATTGTTATAGTGCTCCTTTATGATCTCTGTGCCCTGGCATAGGAGCATGTATGGGGAAAAGGGGATCTTGACATGAGCATTGTGGCAACCTGGTGATCTCTGGCTGGTAAAACTGCCCCTAGAGGTATGTTGGCAACAGACCTGTTCAAAACTGTGCTGGTGAGCAGGCCAGCCCTAGGACCGGGGCTGCAAAGGGGTCATTTGCTGTTTCTACCCCCAGTTGTGTCCAGTGCTCTTCGGGTACATCTCAGAAACTGGGCCAACACCTTTAGTAGCACAGTGTTGGGGCACTGGATCAGTACTGATTCAGGGAGAAAAGTGCCATCCCCCATTTCTTAATGCACTGTGAGTGTACCTTCAGGAGCACCCTGTCCTGATTCTGCTTCATCATCAGACTGGAAAAGAGCACAGATCAAAGTAGTGTAGCTGGTGGAAATGATTATTTCACTTAGCCCAAATGGTTTGTTAGTGTTAAGTACCAGTTCGTTAACCATAAGAAATGTAAGCTGATCCTTTTCAAACTTGACAAGGAGTGAACCTGATCCTGCAAACTGACCTCAGTGTAATTACTCATGTTAGAACTACTCATGTGAGTAAGGTTTTGTTGGATTGTGCCTCTTATTTTTGTTGCCCTGAGGCTTAGGCAATGGGTTCATGTTCTTACAAATAAATTAATATAATTAAAGAAGCTGTTAACAGGAGAGAAATAGTAAGTAAAAGTGGACTGAAATTTGACCAAGCTATTCTTTTTCATTTTCTAGTGTCTGAACTACAGGAAGAAGGAATAAATGCCATTAATTTACCTCTCAGTCCAATTCCATTTGAACTAGATCCTGAGGACACGATGCTGGGTAATTCACAATAATTTTACATCTTAACATAAGAGCCTGATGTAAACTATAATGTTATAAATGTATAATTTTTGTAATAACTTTTTTTTAAACTCATAGAGGAAAATGAAGTCCGAACAATGATTGATCCAAATTCAAGAAGTGACCCCAAATTACAAGAGCTAATAAAGGTAATGGAAAGCATGCACACACTTTCAGATTTCACTGTAAAAAGAAAGCTAAACTATTTTTTTCCTTTGACCTGACTTCTTTCATCTGAACACTTCAGAATACTGTACGAGCAATTAACAGCGCACATGTGATATTCTGGGGTTCAATCCAAACCAGTGAGGGCTTCTGTCACCACCTGCCCCGTATCTCTGGGTGCCTAAATGCTTTGCTGCTGTGGCTTGCAGCCCTGACACCAACAGCCAGTAGACAAATGCAGGAGACCAAGCAGGCAGTTTTGTGGAAATTTGGGACTGGGAGTGTGTTGGGGCCACCCTGCAAGTAGTAACCCAGGTTGGTAGATGCCAGGGTGGGACTGCTTTGTTGTAGGCAGGTTGCTGGGGTCAAAGCACTAAACCAGGACTTCACAGTACACAGACACTCAGGGAAGTGTCTGCTGGCTGTTGGTGTCTGGGCTGTGAGCACTCAGTGCTACAGGGCAGGTGGTGACACAAGTTCTTGCTGATTTGGGTTGAACCTCAAAATGTGACAGCACATGTTCTAATTCAGTAGGTAAAGTATCAATTTTTAGATGAGGTACAAAGCGGTTAAGTGATTTACCCAATGGTACAAAGCTAGTAGCTAGGATAGAACCCAGGAGTCTAGGATAGAACCCAGGAGTCCTGAATCCCAATCCCCCTCTAATCATAAGACTGCTCTGATTTCCTCTGTAGCTTCTTTCTCTATCTTATACCAGGAGCATCAGTAGGTAGCTTTTTTAGAGGCTGACTTCAGTAACTTTCTCCTCCCACTAGGGGCCTGGTACAAATCCCATTGAAATCAATGAAAAGGCATTGGCCTAAAAGGGCTTGCATTAGTCCCATACTCAGAGCTCTGTGCTACCCTGACCCTTCCTTCCAAGAAGGGTTAGATCAATATCTTCTCTGTGTCATGCACTCAATCACCATTGGTGTAACCAGCAAAAATTTCTTATCCCCTTCTATGCCTGAGTCTCTCCTATTTGCTCCTGTTGGAACTCCACAACAGTTGCCATTGCAGCACTGGTGCTCTTTGCTGAGTGTTTGCTGTCGTTGTATAAAGTGACATGTTTTACATTGTAAATACACAATGCAGAATCCTGACAAATTTTGTGTTCCTCATATAGGTATTAATTGACTGGATTAATGATGTATTGGTAGGAGAAAGGATCATTGTGAAGGACCTTGCTGAAGACATGTATGATGGACAAGTATTACAGAAATTATTTGGTAAGAAACTATATATGTATATATATGCATGCTGTTGGTGCACTTTCAATAAGTGGGCCACTCATTCCTAGTTAGAAGAGGCTTGGTATCATTTTACATTTGTTGCACTAAAATGATATAAAAATAGCCCAGTGTTCTAAGACCCTTGAGCAATAGGCTGTATCCTGTAATATAGAGAAATCACAGTTTTCTCAACTACATTGTACTGTGTGTTACACTGTAGTTGATAAAAAGAATATAATGCATACCTGGGGTGCTGGAGGCAGGGTTCTAGTCTTGGCAGCAAATCTCTCTCCAATTAAATGTATTATCTGCAATGTATTATCTGCGTGTGTGCTGTAGAAACTCAACTATGTGACAAGTGGAAACCAAGTTTGAAAGCGAGGATATTTCCATTACAATGGTGGATGTTTTTAATCTGTGCTGGTTCCAGAGTTTAGTTTATTCAAATCTCAAAGTCCCTCTGGAAAGTTGAAGTTTCTATCTGATTTGAGGTCTGATTTAATGTTAGTGAGGTAATGATACCCAGTGGGCTGCAAACTGAGCTTCAACTGAGAAAGGGAGAAAGAAAAGACTATGAAAGCAGAGCTGGCATGTAACTTAGCTGTTGGCTTGGAAGCCACTTTCTTGGTGATTACAGTAAAATCCAGTATCTGAAACTTATCTTGAAACATTTTATGAGCAGTTCTAATAATGGTCAGGCAGACCAGGTCCATAAAGAGATTTTGCCTCTATGAATGATTAAGAAATTGAGCACATTGTGATTCAATTAATATAGCTCTGTTCCTGTATTGGATCCATGTGGGCAGAGCCCCACTGACTTCTGTGCAACCCAAAAACATACATCAGACACAATCTAATTAATTTACTATAGATATTAATATTTCATTTACCTGGGCTTGATCCAGAGCCTGTTGAAGTCAAGAGGAATCCTTCCACCAACTTTAACGGGCTTTGGATCAGCCCTATGAAGATTTAAGGCCCGGATCTCCCAGTGCTCATGCAAGAGGCCCATTGACTTCATGTGGATCCTTTCAGGAGTGGGCTGTTAAGCTCCATGCCTTCTCCCATTGGAAGATTTGCCATTGACGTCAATGGATGCAAGTTAAACTCACAAACTGAATATTTCTTTTGTGAAACTAAACTGATGGGTGATTAAGTGTTTTATTTGTGGTGGTGGTATCAGGGTGGTTTTATTGCTAAATTATCTTTAACTGTTAATCAGTGGTTGGGAGGAGCCTGGCAGTTTAACAAAAACATTATCAAGCATTGTCTTTGCTAATAATGGTAATGGAGCCTGATTCTGCTCTCACTTACACCTGTGCAGTTCCACTGACATCAGTACAGTTATTCCTCAATTCGGACAATTGGGCCCATTGGATTTTTTCCCATTGCTTACTATCATTTTCAAAAGCACCTTCAATAAGTTTGTTTTGAAATTACGTCTCCATTGATAATACAATGTGAGAGTTTAGGATGAAACATTCAGAGCAATGACTGGGAGTCAGAAGCTCCTGGGTTATAATTTTTGCTCTTGGGCAAGCCACTTATTTTCTCTGTACTTAATTTCACTGTATCAGTTTCTAAAACTGTAAAATGTGGATAATTATACTTGCCTACTTCACAGGAATGTTGTGAGGATTAATCAATTAATGCTGATAAGGCAATTTGCACATGAAAAGAACTACAGCATAGGAGTGATAAATATTAATAGCAATATTTATCTTTTTTTAAATAACAATTGCTTCTGACAAATTTCTGCTCAGTAAAAACTTTGCATTCAGATATTCCAGGATTGGAAATTATATTTATGGATGGAAATCATACAGTCATCTAAACCCTTATGCACATCCAAATTATTAGATAATTTCATAAATTATGGATGAAAGAACACTATTTAAATTAACCAATACATTTTGTTAAAATTGGGTTGATAAAATATCTTTAATCATCACTAAACTTGAAAATATGTGTGTGCCATTTTCTCATTACACAGACCTACTGTGCATTAAATTAATTAAAGTCCTTGTCTATACACACGACTTGCAATAGTTTCCAAAATTAGTTTTAAAAATTGATTTACTTAAACCACTGCAAATCCCTGTATGGACTCACTTCCATTGGTTCACACCTGGCTTTTATTCATATTTCTTAAGGCAGTAATTCACTGCGGGAGAAGCTGTTGGTCTGGAGTGGACGAATCAAACCTTTTTAAGCATGATATTTGTCTCTATTGGGCTTGTTGCTCTGTAGCGCAATTCACTTCTGTGCAGAAGATCCCTCGTGGTAGAGCTGTGGAGGCAGCATCAGCATGTTTAACCCTGAGATATGCTCTAGAAGGAGTTGCATCCAACCCTTCACTACTTTAGACTAAAAAGTTAGGGGAAATAAGGTGAAAATGTGGGTGATATTGTTAGGATTCCAAAATGAGACTGGAAATCCCCTTAAGGGAAAAAGAGTATCCTTCGCTGAACAGGTTGAAAAATCAAGGGTTAATTTTAAAACTATGATGACTGATATCTTCCAAAAATCCATTGGAACAGAATGTCTTCACATATATTACTCATGGTACCTAGGATTAAGGAGTAGACTGGCTGCTGTTGTTTTTTTTCTTCCATTATCACTTCAGAGAAACTTGAGAGTGAAAAACTGAATGTTGCTGAAGTCACACAGTCTGAAATTGCTCAGAAGCAGAAGTTACAGACAGTTCTTGAAAAGATTAATGAAACCCTTAAACTTCCTCCAAGGAGCATCAAGTGGACTGTTGACTGTGAGTTGCATGTTTCACAATGGAATGCTCGTTTGTTGATCGTATAGATAGTATAGTTCCCCACTGCAATTCATGAACATAGAATAGTAATTCCACCAATTCCTGCCCTTCCTGGTGGTAGCTGCACAGTATGGGGAGGATGAGAGTGAATTCAGCAACTTCTCTCTTCATTCTCTACTGATGCTCAACCTTTCAGAGCCAGATTTTCAAAACATGACATCTGTGCACTGAAATGTGCCTGCCTACCTGTTTGCAGCTGCATTTACCATATGTATGCATGCAGCATGCATAACGGCAATATTTAGGCACACAGATATCCTTTTGCACGTTATGTGCAGGTAATGTGCTTGCATACAAATTGCATACAGCTAGATTGGATCAAAGCCCACTGAATATATTTAGGGTGAAAATTTGGCTCTACTGAAGTCAATTGCAAAAACTTCTATTGATGTTAGTGGGGTCAGGATTTCACCCCCAGCCTTTAATGTATTAAAAAAAAAGACATATTAACAGCTAGGAATGCAGGAGGGGGCTACAGGATGATTTTGCCCATCCTGTGATCCTTTAAAGGGGCCTGTATTTCACCTCAGCTCTTTCTGAAAACCAGGTCCCTTTAAAGTGTCTCAAGTGGACACCCAGAATCACAAGGTCATTCTTAAAAATGTTGGCCAATAGGTTTATAGCAGGTTTTTTTCTATCTTCTTCCCCCACCCTGAGCCACGTTCCCTTTCATTCCCAAAGTCCATTGTCAACACAGATCTATGGAGGTAAAAGAGGTAGGTATGAGGAGGCAGGGTGAACATTAAGTATAGCTACCTTTCCAGCTCATCCTATCATACTTTTTGCCCTATAGTTTTCTTCCATTCCCTCCTGGCTCCTAAAGAGGGCCAGCTCCAGGCACCAGCCCAGCAAGCAGGTGCTTGGGGCGGCCAAGGGGAAGGGGCGGCACGTCGGGCTGTTTGGCGGCAATTTGGCAGCGGGTCCTGCCGCCGAATTCCCGCCGAAGAAGAAAGCGGTGCAGTGGAGCTGCCGCCGGAGTGCCGCCGATCGCAATTGTGATAGCGGCTTTTTTTTTCTTTTCCTCGCCGCTTGGGGCGGCAAAAACCCTGGAGCCGGTCCTGCTCCTATACTGCAGGATGTAGGGGTGGGGGCAGGATGGCCCTGTGATTGACTTGTCTTTGTTTTAATGTGTTACGGGTGTTTGTGAGTTTTAGTGCTAAGGTAGGAGATTAACAGCAGTGGCTCAGGCCAATTGTAGTGCAAGTAAGGTGCAAGTCAGTCTTCCTTATCCAGCTCTGCCAAAGCACCTCATTCTTGACAGTAGTATCCCCAACAACATTTGCCTTCTGTGCCAAATCATGTGGTGTTTTTGCAGAGAAGTCTCTGGCACATGTTTGTGACTTAGATTAGAAATGACGGAGGAGAACATTTCATTGACTCTCTTACCATTTTACTTGTGTAATAACTTAGTAGTTATTGGTCAGTTTATGTATGGAAAATGTACAGCATTGTTTTGTAGCTGTCAACCATCATTTTAGAGCATTGCCCTAAGGAAGCCTAAAAATGCAGTGCAAATCTGGACACAAGCAAAAATAATAAGAAAGGAAGTACTAAAGTTAGAAATAGATTCCCCTTTGATGTCAGTGGGTTGATACTTGATTACGGCTTACCTACAGTAAGTCCTTTGATATCTTGTAATTCTTGCTAGTGTTAACTACCCATATGAAACCTGCTGAGAAAAAGCTAAAATAACAAGAAGAACTATAACAAGTTCATGAGGAATGTTTGAGTCACTGAGTTTAGTAAGTTATTGCTTCAAGGCTTCAGCCAAAATAGGCTCATTTATCATCCTGCAGACATTGTGACACTTAAAAATGAATAAAGTGCATGTTATGAATACAAAAATATCTTTCTGATAGTTCATAAATTCATATTGAAATAAAGAGGGTAAAGGACCAGCAAAGGAGTGCATAGACAGCTGTTTCAGCGGCCGTACAGAAAATCTGGCTTTGGATCAGGTTTAGATTTCCACCTTCCCAGGCCAATGGCATCCAGACATATTGCAAAAGCAAAAAAATTTTTTTGC